TGTGACCCAAAAAAAAAGAGAGAACATAACATTAAGCACCAGCTAAAAACAACCGAAATCAAATGCAGAGTTGCAAGCAAAAGAATGCTAATGGGTCTCTAGATTTCTCCTACTTTCTATCTTCATCTCTAGCAACAATCTTGTACTTTCCACTTTCCTGTTGCTGACAAACAAAAACTCATCATCAAAACTAAGCTCCACACATACATACACAACTAACAGAGCATAAAAAAATTTGGAGAAAAAGTAGTGATAACAAATCTTACCCTTCCCCATAGCTTGGTATGCTCATTGCAGAAACCAACAACAATACCACCACTCTTCTTCCCTTCACGATACTCAATACAAAGATCTTCTTTTAACCCACAAGTAACATGAAAACCCAACTCACATTTCATCTATGAACACTCGATAACACACCCACGTCTAATCTTACACAAATAACACCTATCTTTCCATCTCTTACTCGGTATCTCTCCGCAACAAATCCCTTCCCTTCCTTCAGGATCCTCAAAGTAAACTTCAGGCACAAACAACGAGCAAGTGATATGAGCCCATCTACCATCTTTCGTCGGCTTCATCGCTCCACCTTTGGTTGTACACAAACAGCAAGAGAAGAGCTTCTTCTCTCGGTTCTTCTTCGATCCAATACAGAGCTCGCAAAACCAATCACCTTCTGGTATAGCTTTAACAAGAGGATTCCCATAACAAGACGCATGAACCATCAAATCACAACCATCACAAAACACAATTGGATTTAATGGATCACCATCAGTGCTTTGACATACAGCACACATAATCCCATCTTCTTCTACTTTCTCTACTTCTCTATCTTCAAGTTCTGCATCACAGAGATCCAGATCTTTTCCTTTCCAAAAGAGGATCGATATTATATTTATCATCATCTTCTTCTACTACTACTATTAGACTCTATTCATCATTTTTCTCAATTCCTTTCTCCTCAACACAAGGCTTATACTCAATATTCAGATCAAAAGGCGAAAGAGGATTACCGGAGAGTGAATCGGGATCAAACGCCCAAATCCTTTTCTTCGCCGAAAGACAAAGATAGGTCGGATTAGAGTTCTCGGCGTCGTCATCGTAGTCAATACGAGTCTGCTTCCTCTTCCTCGCCGGTAACTGCAACGGCTTCGACTCC